CCTAACAACACTTGCCTCGCATATTTTATCTATTTTTATTATATGCTTTATTTTTAAAAATTTATAGGTATTTTTGGTGAGAAACCAAATCTAGTGCAGTTACTTTATCACACTTAGAAAGAGAGGTATACCCAAAGAATCTATCTTTTAAACCAAACACAACAATAGAAATATCACTGATTATACTGTAAAGTCAGATATTCTAGCTAGTGAACACCTGGATTGGTTTTGCAGACAAATCTCAAATAACTTGCACTGCTGAATTACCAGAATATTTTCAAATAAGTTCTTTAACCCTGTTGGCTAAGTGTAATTCTGGCCAAAGAGAGAAAAATGAAAAGATGTGTGGTACGAGTGACAGGAAATGAGTATTTTCCAAGAACACAGTACTTACATAAGCATCGTACTTTGTTCTTTACAAGATCTTTTATATACTTTCCTGTTAGGACTCCTCTTGGTTACAAAGGACAGAAACCTAACTCAAAGTGAGTTAAGCATAAAGGAACTTGTATACACAACATCCCAAGCTATCTGGCTACAGTTATACTATTGGAAATCTGTCTCTCTTCATTTCTCAGCTCTCCTTACCCCCGTGTTGACCTTATTGGCTGACAGTATGACATTAACAGCTTATATTCTGCTAGTTTAGCAAGCACAGAAAAAACAGAGCTCCTCAGTCCATCAAAAAATAATTATCAAAAGCCTGATACTTAGGGGATATGGGATACATATAATGGTGAACCACGTAATTAATGTCCTTGCCCTCAAAAAGCTTACATTCCGATGATATATGAAAGAAAATAAAGACATAAACATAAAATAATTTAAGATCCTACAATGCATATTAAAAAAATAGGATAATGTGGTAGAGAGTAAATGTGATGGTCCATCTGTGTAGGTGGCATTTGACTTAAGAAATACAACATTATGAGTAAAAGGCAGCCAGGGAAGAATATAGGAAAATAATATTGCAAGTAGAAAGAATAACAAGTTAACAGCCCCTGAGATGGGAACCAACATAGCCTGTTTGAGGCACAGAATGAAGTGAGTGTGGAGGAGATAGTAGATAATGCAATAAATAAGGTAAGTAGAAATTAGATAATAATAGCTTTATGGGTCACAATAAGGAGTTTGGATTTAATATCAGCTATGGTGAAAGTTATTGCAAAATAGCCAAAGGATATGATGTGACCCTTTAGAATGATCAATCTTAAGGCAATTTTGGAAGATTTCCCAACAATAAACCAGGATTGAAAGTTATTGGTGGCTTGAGTGATGTGCCTATCCTTAAATTAACCACTATGGCCAGGATAATGCTATGCTTTGATTGGCCCATCTCAGGTTATCCTACTGGTGAGGACACGTGATGAGGTCAATCCCATCTAAACTATATGAACTAAAAGTAGGAATGGAGTAACATTCTCACGTGGAGATGTTATTTTGAGAAGAAGGGTAAATGGATACTGGGCAGATACAAACAACAGAAACACATGTCTGCTCCATTCAAATAGTGGTTGCCATCAATTGTAAAAGTTCTGGAGCCCTGCTGTGTTCTGGAAGCCATTACACCAACAGTCAAGAGAGTTTTCTTCATCAGCTAAAGAGGTAGCCTTTGAATACTGGGAATGAGTCTGAACACCAGTTATTTGAGTTCTCACGAGGTCATTTGGGTTCTAAAATGATATGCAAATGTGAAATCTCTCATTAAATAAAAGGAAGATATGTTTTCTATTATTTTATTTTTCTAAATTATGGCCAAAAATCACAGAAAAGACCTCATTTGGAGGGAAAAAAACTTGTTTGGTGTTATGTTCTTACAGACTGAGTACATTTTTATAGCACAAATTCTCCTCATGGAAAATTTAATTATGTCTCAGTCTTTAAGGATGCAGTTCTTCAGTAACTTTGAGGAACTCAAACTAGTAAATCACTAGCATTCCTTGATATTCATCTGAGAATTCTGAAGGAAATAAACTGTGAAATAGTGGCGCTGCCGGTAAGGATACAATATATCCTCTCTATAAACAGCAGCTCTCCTGAAGGTTGGAAGAAAAATTGCTAATGCTGCACCCATCAGAGAAAAAATTGACGAAATGAAAGGAGATTCTAGAAATTACAGATCACTGAATCTCATCTCATCATCTCAGTTGTAGGAAAAGTGATTGAGGGTTTAATTAAGTTTGGAGTCTTGAATAAGTATAACTAAAAAGAGTTTCAGTCACAGAATTTCCATATAGCATTTGAAGTTGCATAATAAAACCTGTCTTCAGGGAAAACCTGGCTTTCTAGCTGGGAACTTTTATAAAATTAATCATAAAAAAGAATATCTGGTTTCTTTTATGTCGTCTCTTCTGCTGTGGCTAAGGTTAGAGTATGGATAATTTGAAATACTATCTTTTTTCTTAATAAAGTGTTTGATGTTTGGGATAACAGTGATTTGGGTGCTCCACCTGTTAAAGTGCCTTGTCTATTATTAGGTTGCATTACCTACTGGTCGAAACAGGTAGTCGTCATTGTTAACCACAAACATTTATCGTGCCCTGATCTGCACGGAGGGTTGTGTTAGATGTCAAGGCACAAAGATTTATGCTTAGAAATCTGCCTTAAGAAATTTAAGAAATATTTAAGAAATCTGCTTAGAAAATGATGACATGAACAACCATTCAGAGAGCACAAAGCAGCATGGGTATTGGGGTCATTTGGGTGTCATTAAGGCTGGGATATTATTTGGGTCTTAAAAGAAATAAGTAGCCACCCTATCCAAGTATAGAAGAAAGGAAGATGACGGGAGCCGTGTCATTTTTGCTTTTTCTTCAGTTTATACATGTTCCTCTTGGGTTAGCTCTTTTATTTCTACAATTTCAGATACTCTTTCTTTGAGCTAATGATGCCCTACTTTATAATTCTATCCCATGCCCCTCTCTACAGCAAATTCACATTCTGCTTCCTACTGTACATCTCTATCATAAAAACTTTAACTTCAATGTGTCCAAAGCTCCAATGTATTTTTCTTTCCTAAATTTGCTTTTCCTTCTGCAGTCCATATTTTGTTTCATGACACTACCAGTCACTACCAATTTATGACGCAAACCTCAGAGTCATTCTTGACTTTTTATTTTCTTTTCAGTTCCTTATCCAAGCAGCCTCCAAATTCTGAAAATTTGATTTCACTTGTTTCCTACTATATCCTCCGTTTGCAATTGGTATTTACTTAGATTGAATCACTAATCACACAGTATTACCTGTGAGTATTTACCTGTGAGTTCTGGGAAGAGCCTATGGTTTCTTAGTCTTTGATTCCATTTCCAGTGTCTAATGCCAACATAGACCATGGGAGGTGTGCAAAAAAAATGCTTATTGAAAAAATTGTGTGTTAGACATCCATTATTTATTCAATAAGGTATTTAATAATTCACCCAGCACATTTATGGAGGACTTGCTATGTGATGGGAATTGTGCTTGTTTGATATTGAGGACACAGAGATGAATGAAAGATATCCTCTGTGCTCTCCGATAGCTCATAAAAGTCTAGGAAGAACAAACATTCGAACAAGTAATATTGAAAAATTGAAGTCAAGATGGACCCAGTAATTTTTACATTTATCTTATTTAGTCTCAGTGTATGTATATATATGTGTGTCATCTTATTTGATAGTGATGTTGCAGATTTTGTAATGATCTCTCTCTTGTATTATTTCAATGCAGCATAAGCTAAAATGTGTTAAAATTCTCATGTTGAATTATTACTAACAAAGTACTTTTGAGAATAAAAACATTTCCTCATAAAAGGACATGTTCCTGTGAATATGAATCCTGGCTAGGAAAACAAAAACACTATGGAATCTTATAATTGAAACCACTCCTGATAAAATTAAAAATTCATCTCACAACTGCCCACACTTGAGCATAAATCAAGATACATTGATTTTAGGGACTGTAGCCAAGAAGTCAGTGATAAAAATCTGAAAATATTGATTATTCCAGGTACACTGAAAAATTGACTTAAGAGATTAATTAAACATCTCAGAAAGGGGGAAAAAAAATAACAAACCTTAGAGTTTTTCCCAGAAATCATCTCATCTCATCTTGATCGCTTTTTTTTTTTTTCCAGGAAGAGGTTTTTCAGGTAAATGATAATGTTTACCCTGAAAGTTTGACTTATCTGACTGCCTCCAGATCTACTTTGAAGACTTCTTTTAAAGATCAAGTAAGGTTCTAGTAGCTCTTTTGAAGTATAAAAAAGAAAAAAAATGTTTTTTCTGGTTGAACCAGCTTGCAGGTTATTATTACCACTAAAAAATTGAAAATGTTCTTGATGAGTTTCCAAGATGGAATTAGTCTACATGACTACAAAAAAATGTTCTTTATGTTCAGAACAGGAGAAATATTATTCAATTTTTTTTTCAGAGACAGGCCATAGCACAAAGTAGGCAAGGTACATTAGACCAGCAGTTAGTACAATATTTCATTTTAGCACACCACTAAGTGATTAAAAGTCTCCCTTCTCCAAATCCTATCACTCTCAATCTCAGTAGACACTGGCTCTTCCTTCATCCTAAAAGTCGAAGCCATTGAGTTTGCTCTCCCTTAAGAGTTTGTTCTGCCTTCTGCCCCCACATGTATCTATGTCCACTTCTGCCCTCTAATCCTTTCCTTTCATCTTAGAGGCTGTGAGAAGGGACCACCACATGGGGACTTGTTTGACTGTTTATAATAGAGTCCAGAAAAACAGTGACAGAAACAAAATATGGAGTTCTTTCCCTTCACAGCACTAAGATTAGGAAGAGACAATCTTCTTGGGAAGAGCTGGTGCAGACACTCTGTAGTGACAATGATGGCCCAGGCTCCTATTATTTTTCTGTTCCTCCTTGTTTAACACTTGACTTTCACCCAAAGAGTTGCCTCATGGTGAAAAAGTGGTCACTGTAGCTCCAGCTATCATATCCACATGCCTGGAAGTAGGGAGGAGGAAAGGGAAAAAGATCAAAAAGTCATCTTACCGCTTATACAGACATCTTTTTAAGGAGATTTCCTGGACCCAATGCCTGTATCCCACTGCTCACCATTCTGTGAAAGGAAGGATAAGAGACAATTCTTTTAAAACTTTGCACATTACCACCTCAAAAAAAAACCACACAAATAAACAAACAAAAACCACAATAAATGAATTCTGTAATAAAAGGAAAAGGTAACAATGGATTAAAGTGACTCATAGTCACTGCCATGGTATCTTAAACCACTTCCTCTATGTTCGAATGCTTCCCTTGTTGAAGTGCTATGAAAACAATGAGGAAGAGGAACTGAAGTTTTGGATCAGACAGAGGTGGGTTCAAACTCTGGGTTCATCACTGATTGGCTCTTGGATCTTGCTCAGGTTATTTGAAATTTCCAAGCCTTAGTCTCTTCACATATAAAACAGATGAAAACACTTATTGTGAACACCTGTTTGGGAACTAAATAAATGTAAAGAACTGTTACAGTGCCTGGAACATAGCAAGTGATCAATCACTTGTGTATACATAAAGGCCACGGAATATGAAATATTGTGTTAATCCTTTTAGAAACAACATGTCTATGCTTTTTTTTTTTTTTTTTTTTTTGTCCCTGAAGACACCTTTGGTTTTCTCTGTCTGTCAAGTAAATATTGATGTGCCCAGGCTTTGTTCTTGGTTCCCCGATCCCCTTATTCTGTTTCTCATCCATTATCTTGATTTCAGTGAGCACTCACATTTGGATGACTCTCAGCTCAGCCCCCTTCCTCAGCTCCAGACTCACCCCTGGGTATGTCCAAAGTGTCTGTAGAATGTTGAATAGTGTCCCCCAAGGCATATGCTCCCCCACAACTTCAGAATGTGACCTTATTAGGAATAAGGGTCTTTGAAGATTTAATTAAAACACAGTTCTTGAGATGAAGTCATCCTGGGTTAGGGTGAGTCCTAAATCCAATGACAGGTATCCTTAAAAGAGATAGAAACAGAGAAGGTGCACACAGACATAGGGGAGAAGGCCATGTAAAGACAGAGGCACAGATTAGAATGATGTGTCTACAAACCAAGGAAACAAAGAATTTCCTTCAGCCACCAAAAGCTGGGAGAGAGACATGGAGAAGATTCTCCCTCATAGCCTCAGGAAGGAACTAACCCTGTGGACCCATTGATTGCAGACTTCTGGCCACCAGAACTCTGAGAGGATAAATAGATTTCTGTTGTTTTATACCACCAATTTTGTAATAAATTGTGATGGCAACTGAACTGAACTCTTTACTTGCCACTGTTAATGTGTTCTTTGCCCATATTTTCTAACTTTTATTTTGTGGGAGCACTATTCACACTGAAATGCAACTTGTCATCCTTGAGTTCACCTCCACTATCTACCTCCTCATCCAACCAATTGCAGAACTTTATATCTAAATAATTCTCATATCTGGCCTTCATTTTTCAAACTCATTTGCCACTATTCTGGGTTCAAGCTACTGCCATCTCATATCTGGACTTGTACAAGAACCTCCCAACATTTCTTCCTACTCCTACTCCTAGGCTTATCCCACTCAAATACAGCCTCTTCACATTTGCCAGAGACCTTGCCAAAATGCAAAATAAACCATGAGCTTGACTTGCTTAGAACTCTGTGATGGTGCTTCATTCCCTACAAGATAAAGTCCAAGAACTGTGCCAGTGGTCACTCTACACATTCCAACTTGCCCATGTGCCTTTGTGCATGCTTTCCCTATTCCTGGCATAGTCTTCTGTTCATTGCCATGTACCTACCCTGACATCTAATATTTATTATCTATTCTGACTCATTTTATGCATCACTTTGTCTAATAAGTCTTACTGATCCCTGTCCCAAGTAGGTACCTTCCTCTGAGCTTCTATAATGACTTGGATGCTTACCTTGATCTGCATGCTTTGCACCAGGTTTTCTAGTATTACATTTAAGCAAATTCATTATGGCAATAAAATAAAAAGTTTAACTGCCCTACTAGTTTGAGCTCCTTGTAGACAGGAGCTGTTATCCTTGACCCTTTTATAATAAATCTGCACAGTGCTTGGTAGATGCTTGTGTCTGGTGGGCCCTCAATAAATGGTTGTTGAAGGACCAAAGAGCTTAAATATTACTCCTATGAAACTTTACAATGTTTTATCTCCATCATTGGTAGTCCCACTCAATTACCTCAAATCCCTTTTCTTATTGGTCACTGCAGCCAATTCATCCAAAGTCCCCGATTTCTTCTTTGATCAAAGAGGGTCTCTACAGAGACCCAAAGGACCAGTGGTTAAATGTACAGCCTTCAGGGACAGAAGGTCTGGAATCAAATCCTGGCTTTTCCACATCTTAAATGTGTGACCATGGCCAAGTTACTTAATCTCCATGAGCTTCATCCATGCATCTGTAGAATGGGGGTGATCACAGCACCTACCGCATAAGATCACTGCCATTTACTGGTCACTAAGAAAAAAGGCATGAGATAAAGGTAGGGGAGTGAGTGTATCAGATGAATTAAGAGTTACACTGCTCTCTTCCTAACTTCGGTTCTCTACATAACCCCAGAAACTCTGTCACATAGATAAGGGCTTTGAGCTAAATGTTAGAGTATTAATCATTGCTTCCCAATGATGCATAGATAACTACCATATCCTGTATCCATTCTTCCTTGTGATTTGCAAGCTTTGTTCAGGACAAGACCACTTTTTTTTTTTTTCCAGAATGATTTTACCAGATTCTTAGGTGTTCTACTTCTTCTTACTTCTTGACCTTAACATTAAACACTCTGATTTTTTTTATGAAGTACAAAGTTCCTGTTCCAAAGTGTCATTTTGATCAGACTACCCTTTCTTATGGAAATGAAAAAAAATCTTCTGGCTTCCCATCAAATTAAAATTCTTCTTCTGAGACTTCAAGGTTCTTATCAAATTCTTTTTACAACACAACTGCTATGACTTACTTGTCCTTCTCAGTTTCTAGCAAACCTACTTATTGTCCACATCATACAATATGCCTGATGGTTGCCTGAAAGCCACCATGATATTTTAGTCAAGATAATATTTTGGAAAAATCTTAATGTACGTTTCTACTTCGCATTTTCATGTTTATAGTCTTTTCTCTAGTGGGGCTGAGGCATCCATCCATCAAGAGAAAATAAAATCTACCATATGAAAGAAGTGAGAAGGAACAAGGTAATGTTGAACTTCTGATATTCAAGATAGAAATTATCAGCAGGGAAATAGCTCGTGGTCAGGTTTTCTGAGAAAGAAGGAATTTCCAAAGTTCTTCTAGCTCTTGTCTATTAGTAAAAAGAACAAAACCCACAGGGCATGTGGAGCGTCTTCTGTGATGGCCAGCTTGTGAGGTTTGCTGCTCTGGCTAGGAAGAATATGTCACAGTGAAAGGGAAAAAAACCCATCTTTTCTAGCTTTTGCAGCTCACAGGATGTGAATGACAGAGCAATTGAGTCTCCACAGTTCAGACATGGGTCAGAAGGAGGGTATCTGATAAGTTAATCCCTATTTCCTGGCTTCCATTCTCCGAATAACGTCAGCAACTCTGTCACATAGATAGAGCTTTGGGGTTTTGTATTTTTATGTCTTTTCAATTTTATTCTCTTCTTTGTCATAAAGCTGCAAGATACTCCAGGGCAAAAAACAAATTTCCCACATCCCATAGTTTGGTTGCTGAATTATTGGTGCCAAATAATAGGAAGTTTTTTTCTAATAACCACACAAATCATCATTGAGCTACTGGGTAGACGAGGCTATGAGATGAAAATACATCAATAAAACTGGAGAGAAAAAGATATAAGATCCCTATCTACACCTTAAGGCTAACAAATGTTCATTGCCTTTCAAAGAATTGTAGCCATGATGAGGTATGTGAGGAAAATCCACATTTTGGCATCCCACAGGTTGGTTTAAATCTGTATGCAAAGCTGTTTCGTATGTTGCATCTCAGAGCCCCAAGACCAGCCGAGAATTAGAACAACTATTTATGCTAAGAGTTGCTGAAGTGATTATGGGGACTGTGGCCAGACAGATTTAGTGATAAATAATTTATGAAAAGGCAGACTGGGGAAAACATATTTTAAATAAATTGATTAACCTTTTATTTGCAGAGTTTTGAACTCCAGGAAATGTGCTCAGGCTAGGCTCCCAGAGATAAATGATGTTCAGTACTTTTATATAGCTGATATTTATGGAACACCATTTAAATACTTTCTACAAATGACTTTATTAATTCTAACAACAACTTTATGATTTATAAGCTATTATTACCTCTTTATTTAGATGTTCAAGGTCACACAGTTAGTAATCAGTGCAGCTGTAATATAAATCAAAGCAATCTGGCTCTAGAGTTGGTACCCTTTACCAATATGGTTGATAGCCTGTATATGGTTATATGGATATGCATAAGGTTGGCATCAGAGAAACCTGGGAAAATACCAGAAGAAAAATTAGAAGAATATTTATATATCTTGAGCTGAAAAGGGGCTTTCTAAGTATGTAACAAACCCAGAAGGCATAAAAGATAAGACTGACATTTGGCTATATGACAAATAAAAACCTCTGTGTAGTCCAAGAAGCCATATTTGAAGTTAAAATGTAAACACCTGCCTAGAGAAAAATATTTGCTATATACTTAACAGATAAGAGGGTAATAATGTTTAAAGAAATCTTATAAATCAATGAGGAAAAAAACAAGCAAATAGACAAGCAAAAGATGTAAGAAGTAAAGTAAGAAAGACAAATCATAGAAGATAAAACATGATAGACAGTAAGCCATAAAAAAGATGTTTAATATCATTAATAATCAAAGTAAATGGAAATTTTGAGATAATTTCATTTATTTAATTGCCAAATATTCGGTAGAAAGTAGAATTGCATGAGGATGTGAATGCAAGTCCATGTTTGACTCAGAAATGGGAAAGCCTCAATCAGAATCTCAGGGATTAAGTAATGTTCAATGATTTGGAAATTCCAGAAAAAATTATTCGAAGAGCCATATTAATTTTTCTCCATTCTTTAAACTTAATTGACATTTTTATATTGATAAAACCCATGATAAGCCAGATA